GCCCTGGATCCCCACACGTCCGCGGCCGGAAGCTTCAACCCCGAAACAGCCGGAAAGATGGGCTTAGGGTTTAGGGTTTAGGGTTTAGGGTTTTATAAGTCAAAAGCCCACTAGAAAAGCCTGAACCCTAAAAGGACGAAGCCCTGGATCCCCACACGTCCGCGGCTGGAAGCTTCAACCCCGAAACAGCCGGAAAGATGGGTTTAGGGTTTAGGGTTTAGGGTTTAGGGTTTAGGGTTTAATGCCAGGTGGCACTGATCGCCATCCGAGGAAGCGCAACGTCTGGGTCTGGGTACAGAGCTCGGTAAGGCATTTTGAGGGGTCAGGGTCCAGGATTTACTGAGGATTAATACAGGGTATCCTTATAAGAACCCTAAGCCCTATCATCTTCCTCGAGGTCAGAGCAAAGGCCAAAACCCTAAACCCTAAAACCCTAAAACCCTAAAACCCAAAAACCCTGAAACCCTAAATCCTAAACCCTAAACCCTAAAACCCTGAACTCTAAACCCTAAAACCTAAACCCTAAAATCCTAAACCCTAAACCCTGCGAAGGTGTAGGATGTTTGACGGGTCTTCCACTGGTGACAGGCTGTAAGTGCTGGAGGACTGTTTACTGTGTAAGCCTCTATTGAGGCAGGCTTTGCGGAGAAAAGGCCACTGCACATTAAAAAAAAAACCTAAACCCTAAGCCCCAAATCCGCAGGCCCCAGCCTTCACTGGTCCCCCGAAAAAAATGAAATTGCATGGCTAATCATAAGACTTTCGTGGTTTGTTCTTTGGGGTTATGGGGCTTTAAGGGCTTGAGGGGTTTGGGGTTTATGGGGTTTAGGGGTTTTAGTACAGATAGAATCATACAGAAGGCGTGCATGTCTTTTCTCCAGAGAAGAGTCCCAAACCGAGGTCGATGGCAGCCCTTTCCAGTGGAGTAAGTGGTTCGATCACGGCGGCGGGTGCGCTTCCCAAGCCCCATTTAGGGTTTAGGGATTAGGGACTAAAACTCTTGGTTCATAAACTCCCGTTCATCAGTGGCCTTACTTCTAAGCGCCTTGAGTGAGGGGATCGATTAAACAGGGCTGCTCATTGGGGCTCATGGGATTCCACGGCTTACAGAGTTCATGAACACAAAATGAAATCTGTTGAGGGCTGCAGGGCACCACTCACAGCCAATGCCACGTGGTCGGACCCTGAACCATAAGTTTTTCCTTTCGGAGCATATCGGGCCGAACGGCTAAGGGTACCTGTGGGCTCATACACTACCCCTTTTTATTGGGACCTATTTTTCTATTTAGCAGATCCTAACCATAGAACTAGTTACCTTAAAGAAGCGGTAGGTTATGACTCCAGGTAGTGTGTCTGACTCGATCGGGTTTGGTTGCGGGCCAGCATTCTGGGACCTGGCGCAGGTGTTGGTTCGGGACGCATTGGGTCTGTCTTTGTCAGATGTGTAGGGCGCAGGGGTGCCTGCTTGAGGGTTGGAGGCTTCAAAGCTATCAAGCCTACGTCCCTGGACTCCTGGGACCCTTAACCCTAAACATCCCAAACCCTAAACCCTGAACCCTAAGGAAGCCTACAAGCCTTACTTGGGTGTTCTGGTCCATGGTGCAAACGGAGGAGTTACTCTGTGTCCACGCCCTTGCCACTTGGCTCAGTCAAACAATCACCATACAACTGGAGAATGGATCCCTGTACAGGTTGAAACAAAAACGTGAAAACACCAAAATCGGGAAAGCTGATGCCGTAACCCTGGACGCGGGGCAGGAATGTGGAGCCCAACAACGACTTCTGCACAGATCACCGGCATTGTGGCAGACTCAGAGCACATCCCGCAAAATTCCGTAAAGCACGAGATTTTGGGAGCAGGTTTCGCTGAAGATCTCAACATTGTGCCGTAGAATCTAGACCGGACCTGACCTGGGTGCATCGTCAAAGAGATGCTAAGACAGGCCTAGCGCAAAGGTCTCGGGAAAGGGTTGGGTTTGGTGAGGGTCTGAAGACACCGTGGGTGAATCATGTCGATTTCTTTGAGAGCCTTTATGTAACTAAGTATCAGGTCCCCGGTGCCCTGTTTTGATAACTTTGGTCATGGTTACCCACTCTATCCCTTTACATACCCATTGTGGGCTCTCGTAGTAAGTCGGTTGAAGGCAACGAGTAGATGTGGCGGGAACATGCGTAGTTCTTTTCCTCCAAAACGTGTACGATGGGTGTAGCTTTCTGGTTTGGTTTTCGGCGATAAGGGCTACCCCAAATTGCTTGAATGTTAATGACTGTCCCGCTAAGGCAGGTATGGGCACACTGCAGACTGCAACGTTTTGGAGGCTGCATGCATGTGCACACATGTGTGGGCAGGTGCAAGTCGTTTCTTTCGGCAGAATTCCAGCAAGTTGAGGATATGAAGGATCCGCAAGTAGCTCCGTTGTCTCATTGGCTATTCTGAAGTGCCTATCCGAGCGTAGACCAGGCCTGCTGTGAAACGTAGATCTGCATAAGGCCCCCACCTTGCAGTAGCAGCAAATTCTCCGACACGACGGGATGTCTGTGAGCGCATCAGAGTTTCCAGTCAAATTAGGCTGTTTCCCTGCGGCTTCCACGTTGAGGGTCGCCATTTTAACCACTGGTTTTATAGCCTTGATGCAACAAGCAGCAGAGTGAATGCCTAATCGCAGCAGACACTTAAGATCTCAAACCTTTGCGCGGGTTTGCGGGATACGTTTAGGGTTTGGGGAAATCAGTCCCGCAACCGGGTTTAGGCCTCAGAGATTAGGGTATCCGTGGTAGTTTAGGGTTGACTTTAATAGTAATAAAACTACAGTAATAAACCACAGCCACTACACGCATAAGTAGTACTTGTGAAAACTACAACCTCAGGAAGGCGAACCCTGGGTCCTTGACACATCGTCCTCGAAACCCAGGCAACCCTTCCAGAGCCCTTGGATGTGTTATGGGGGTTTAGGGTTTAGGGTTTTCATTCTTGAACATGAGGTTCTATGGAGTGCTAGAGTTGTTTGCACGGGTTCTGAACACTTCTAAGACACAAGCCGACGTCCCCTCGTGCTTCGGGAGGTGTCCAAACCCTTTAAGGGATATTGGCTTGACACCTTCTGCACGGACCGGCAGAAGTTCATCTGCAAGGCAAGGTCGGAACTGAAGTTGAGGGTTTTTCCCCCCTAAACCCTAAACCCTGAACCCTAAACCCTAAACCCCAGGTCGGAACTGAGGGTTAGGTTTTTTTTTCTAAGCTTCCGGATCTCAGGCTTAAACTCAAGGGTATGGGGGTGCAGGCCTTTGGGGTTTCAGCGTGTAGGGTTTCGCCGGCGGTAATGTAAGTGTTCGGGGTTAAAGGAACCCCATCTTGTGACCCAAGGGTTTAGGGTTTAGGGT